AGCGGCTGATTTTCCGGAATAAGTGGCCCAGTGTAGACACAGCCTATGAGTGTATGAGTAGCAAGGTTTGGGATTGAGGTTGGGTGCAGAAGGGAGCTTGAGGTAAGGGACTGGGGAGCAGAAGGGAGTGTGGGGTCTGGGAGGGAGTTTGGATGAAGGAGGCAGTTGTGTCCTGGGCACTGGATAGGAGTGCAGGAGCAAATGCAGGGATTTGGGTTGTGACATGGGACAGGAGAAGGTTGTGATCTGGAGCTAAGAATTGGGTTGCAGGGGTTTGGGTTGTCATCTAGGGCAGGAGCAGGTTGTAACCTGGGGCAGGGGACTAGGGTGCAGAAGGAGGTGCGGGGGTTTGGATTGTGACCTAAAGCAGGAGGGGGTTGTGACCTGGGGAAGGAGACTGGGGTGCAGCAGGAGGTGCAGGGGTTTAGGTTTGACCTAGGGCAGTGGATTGGGGTGCAGGACCTGGGAGGGGGCATAGGATAAGGAGGGGGGCAGAGTGTTTGGGTTATATGGGTTAGGAGGGCAGGAGTGGGGGGCAATGGGTTGGGGGAGGTAAGCGCTGGGGTGCCAGAGGCAGGCTCACACTGGGTGACTCCCATATAGCAGCCCAGCACATTTCTCATGCAGCCTCCCTTCCTGCCCACCCCTGCACAGACTGCAGGGGCTATGTGCGTCTGTGAATAAGAGCCTGAAGGGAGGGGGATTGGTGCTTCTCGTGTTGCCTGTTCTTCAAAAAGGCAGCTCTCATTGACCAAAAACTGGCCAATGGGATTGTGCTGGGGCAGGGGCAACATACAAAGCCTCTCCCCACTCCCCTGGGTTCACAACTGTAAAAGATAAATGGTCCGGCAGATGCTTTTCTGAGCAGCTTGCGGGGCGAGGGGAGGAGGGGGGCAGAGGGATGGAACAAGCAGGAAGCCTGCCTGAGACTCCCCATTCATCTGCGGGCCAGATCTAGTGGCTTTGCAGGCCACATACAGCCTGCAGACTGTATTTTGCTCAGCTCTGCTTTAACAGTTAATCAGATAGAAAAACATGGCAAATATTATTTTTAGAAGTTTCAGAGGGGTAGCAAAGTTATTTTTAGAGTAACTAAGGCCAGAATTTGGATTGCTCTACCTAAGTGGACTTGAATTAAGAAAAACAATTTTACAAAAATGAATGGAAATATTTATAAAATTGTGTATAGGTGGCAAATAAATCTTGCCATATGCTTAGTCTTTATAAATTGGTGTGTGAAACAAATACTTACATTGTATAGTGTTAGGGTGACCATATTTCAGTATGTGTCACTTGGTAAAATTACCAAGTGAGTTTTCAAATGAGTTCAACAGCAATCAATTAGATTTATGCAGTACAAATGTTCAAATTAAGTTAACTGAACCGTTATTAAAAAGAAATACTGAATAGCGGGATACCTTTTATTTACTTTATAGTTAAGGCTTTAGTGTTCATAGAGGCAGAGCTGGCACGCGCGTGCACACACACACACACACAAATACACACTCTCTCTCTCGAACACCTCTCTCATAGGGTATGTCTACAATACAACGTTAATTCGAACTAACGGTCCGCTAGTGTAGTGCCTATGAAAGGTAGTTCGAACTAGGCTTAATCCTCGTAAAATGAGGTTTTCCTAGTTCGAACTAAGGTCCGTTAGTTCGAACTAACGGACCTTAGTTCGAACTAGGAAAACCTCATTTTACGAGGATTAAGCCTAGTTCGAACTACCTAGTTCGAATTAAGGGGCTACACACCCCTTAATTCGAACTAGGTAGTTCGAACTAGGCTTAATCCTCGTAAAATGAGGTTTTCCTAGTTCGAACTAAGGTCCGTTAGTTCGAACTAACGGACCTTAGTTCGAACTAGGAAAACCTCATTTTACGAGGATTAAGCCTAGTTCGAACTACCTAGTTCGAATTAAGGGGCTACACACCCCTTAATTCGAACTAGGTAGTTCGAACTAGGCTTAATCCTCGTAAAATGAGGTTTTCCTAGTTCGAACTAAGGTCCGTTAGTTCGAACTAACGGACCTTAGTTCGAACTAGGAAAACCTCATTTTACGAGGATTAAGCCTAGTTCGAACTACCTAGTTCGAATTAAGGGGCTACACACCCCTTAATTCGAACTAGGTAGTTCGAACTAGGCTTAATCCTCGTAAAATGAGGTTTTCCTAGTTCGAACTAAGGTCCGTTAGTTCGAACTAACGGACCTTAGTTCGAACTAGGAAAACCTCATTTTACGAGGATTAAGCCTAGTTCGAACTACCTAGTTCGAATTAAGGGGCTACACACCCCTTAATTCGAACTAGGTAGTTCGAACTAGGCTTAATCCTCGTAAAATGAGGTTTTCCTAGTTCGAACTAAGGTCCGTTAGTTCGAACTAACGGACCTTAGTTCGAACTAGGAAAACCTCATTTTACGAGGATTAAGCCTAGTTCGAACTACCTAGTTCGAATTAAGGGGCTACACACCCCTTAATTCGAACTAGGTAGTTCGAACTAGGCTTAATCCTCGTAAAATGAGGTTTTCCTAGTTCGAACTAAGGTCCGTTAGTTCGAACTAACGGACCTTAGTTCGAACTAGGAAAACCTCATTTTACGAGGATTAAGCCTAGTTCGAACTACCTAGTTCGAATTAAGGGGCTACACACCCCTTAATTCGAACTAGGTAGTTCGAACTAGGCTTAATCCTCGTAAAATGAGGTTTTCCTAGTTCGAACTAAGGTCCGTTAGTTCGAACTAACGGACCTTAGTTCGAACTAGGAAAACCTCATTTTACGAGGATTAAGCCTAGTTCGAACTACCTAGTTCGAATTAAGGGGCTACACACCCCTTAATTCGAACTAGGTAGTTCGAACTAGGCTTAATCCTCGTAAAATGAGGTTTTCCTAGTTCGAACTAAGGTCCGTTAGTTCGAACTAACGGACCTTAGTTCGAACTAGGAAAACCTCATTTTACGAGGATTAAGCCTAGTTCGAACTACCTAGTTCGAATTAAGGGGCTACACACCCCTTAATTCGAACTAGGTAGTTCGAACTAGGCTTAATCCTCGTAAAATGAGGTTTTCCTAGTTCGAACTAAGGTCCGTTAGTTCGAACTAACGGACCTTAGTTCGAACTAGGAAAACCTCATTTTACGAGGATTAAGCCTAGTTCGAACTACCTAGTTCGAATTAAGGGGCTACACACCCCTTAATTCGAACTAGGTAGTTCGAACTAGGCTTAATCCTCGTAAAATGAGGTTTTCCTAGTTCGAACTAAGGTCCGTTAGTTCGAACTAACGGACCTTAGTTCGAACTACCTAGTTCGAATTAAGGGGCTACACACCCCTTAATTCGAACTAGGTAGTTCGAACTAAGGTCCGTTAGTTCGAACTAACTTTGTAGTGTAGACATACCCATATTGGGGAAGTGAGCAAATGATCCAACCTTCCCTGCCTGGTGCTCCCTGCCCTGAATGTCTGGCTGCATTCCTAAGACAGACCCACCTCTCCTGGTACCTGGCACTGTGTTTTCCTGAGACAACATGTGGGAAGCATGGGGGGTGATATGTTCCCCATATTTCTGCCAGGGTTCACTCCAGAATGTGGCCAGCAGCAGCTTTTCAGCACTGTGCATGAGGGAAGGGTTGGGAACTGCTTTCAGCTGTGGGGGCAGAGGGGAAGAGATGACCTGGTGTTTTTGTAGCATTCTTCCTTCCCCACATTCTCCCCCCTACCCTCCGCCATGTGGCTGGAAGCAGCTTGTCCCTTCCTGCCTGCACAATGTTGAAAGGCAGCTAACTGGCCACCAATGTAACCCAGCTGCCTTTGGCTGCAGTGAGAGCTGGAAGAGCAAGGGCAGGGAGAAGATGGCAAGAGGGGCAGCATGTCAAGAACCAATGGGGTGAACAACAGTGACACGTAATTGGTTGACACCTAGCACATGCCCATATTCACCAGCCAATGCTGCTCGCAGTGTGCAGCCAGTGGTGACCCAAACTGGATGAGGGCGAACCCTGCTGCTCAAAAGTTGGCACAGGGAAATGGCTCAGCCTGCGCTCTGCATCTTCACTCTACCACCAGCTTTTCATGCCATCCCCAGCATTGGCCACTCACTGGATTCCTCCACTCAGCACTCGTGGGTGGGTGACAAGTGAGCAAGGATCTGGCCTGTAGCAGGACTATCAGTACTGAGGGGAGGGAGACAGAAAACACACAATAACTTATCTGTTTTTAATAAAAAGTCAGGACATCAGCAGGAGGGGTTAAATGTAGGATTGTCCCTTTAAAAACAGGACATCCGATCACCCTAACAGTGTACATTAAGGCTACGTTTACGCTGGCATGATTTTGCGCAAGAACTCTTTTGTGGAAGTTCTTGTGCAAAAACTCTTCCACTGACATGTGCCTTTGCACAAGAGCATCCATGCTAGTGTAGATGCTCTTTTGCGCAAGAAAGCTCTGATGGTCATTTTAACCATAAGGCTTTCTTGCACAAGAAATTCATGTTGCCTGTCTACACTGGCCTCTTGAGCAAGAACAGTTGCGCAAGAGGGCTTATTCCTGAGCGGGAGCATCAGAGTTCTTGCACAAGAAGCACTGATTTCATACATTAGAATGTCAGTGTTCTTGCGCAAGAACTCACGGCCAGTGTAGACAGGCAGCAAGTTTTGGTGCAAAAGCGGTGGCTTTTGCGCAATGTCACGCCAATGTAGACAAAGCCTAAATGTAGCATTTTTTCAAAAAACTTCAAAAGGCTAAGATACAAAAAAGAAATCAAGTCAATATTCCAACAATGTTACAATGACTGAACATGTTCAATTTTTCATACTCTGTCATATTGATAAGGCTTATGAAATATACTACTCAAAAATAACGCAGTTTAAAATGACATACATAATACATAATAAAATAAAATAAGTCAGTTTGTACAACACAAAATGATGAAGGGTTAATAGTGGTTTAAAAAAACCCTTTAGAATTCTGAAATAGTGTCTTGCACTGAAAACTAAGAACTGACCTCAAAACACTTTTCCTTCTTTGCTTGATGCAGAAGTTCAGCCATTCCAGGCAGAAGAATTGGAAATATGTAATATTCTAAGTATTCTCGAGGAGAACCTGGACAAAAAAAACCATTTTTTTCATTACAGATTGAACTTAGTCTGGAGAAAGATGGACATCATTTGAAATAAATGAAATAGCCTTAATTTTAATTGATATAATCTCAGCATGTTCTTTGATATAATCTCAGCATGTTCTAAGCACAGATTCCTTCAGTTTAGATAGTCACAGATTTCACTCCTCTTAAGGTGTAAAGAATACTCCTTTGCTTTCCAACCCCTTAAAATTGGCGTAACATAGTCACAAAATTCAATTCTTAGGTATCAGGAGGAGAGCCAAGTCAAATCTGCACTTTGTGGCACACTGAGTTCCCTCTCTTACCCATCTCCTTTTCACTGGCTTTATGTCATCATGAATAAACCCCTCCAGGAACAAGAGAAATAAACAGAATTGCCTTCAGAGCTCCATCAATACAACTCCTGATCTACCAGCAGGCATAACTGTTGGGTGTTCTCATGCTTTTTCCTTTGCCTAGATTGCCAGTCCTGAGTCCTTGGAAGTGAGAGAATGAAATGGAATTTGGATCTGCTTAGTAGGTCACAACACTTAACTTTAGACCACAAAGCCAGTTCAAGGTTAAGCTCCTTCAAACAAAAAGTTTGTCCATGATTAAAGTAGGGGAGAATTTTAAGAATGAAATTTCAAAAGCACTCAGCATTGACCTAACTCTTTACTCAGTGAAGTCAATGGTACAGATCCCATTAACTTCAGCATGAGTTTAGGCTCATGACAAGCACTTTTGCAAAACACAATATTTACTCTTTAAGGTGAAAAAATAAACTCAAAAGTCTGAAATGACAACATGATAACCTTTCAAATTACATGGTCCAGTGAATGGAAATACATACACATTTGATTTAACTAGATGAATTTCTGTCCTGAATTACTCTGGATTTATGCCACTGTAGCTCCATTACCTTCATTGGAGTAAATGAGTTAGTCAAGAGCAGAATATGACCTACTTTTTCTTCTGGCTTTTCTGATCTTAAAGTTAAAGATAAATTAAATAAAACAAGAAAGCTATTTTTAAGAAGCATTTCAGTATGTAACTTCAATACCACACATAAAATATCCCAATTAACTACATAAAAACTAAACAAGATTTAATCTTATCCCATACTCTTTTATAGTAATAATTATTTTTAATAATTTAAGTGTGTCCTGCCTGATTAGTCATGGTGTTTTAATAGTATTAATTGACTGGATATTTTATGGACAAACTACGTGCAAATTGTATACTTTGTACGCCAGTCTTGGAAATGGAACTAAATACATACAGGCTGTGTCTAAAACTTTATGTTTCTAAATGACTCTGTGTTTCAATGAGATTTGAGCATTTAACTCTAAAAATTGTAATCTAGACACCAAAATGACTGAGAAAAGTGAACCCTTTTCGAAGATTCAAATTGGTCTGTACTAACAACATTAAAAAGTAATATTCTGGAGCACTGAACATTATAAAACAAATTTTATATCAGGTGTGGAAAATGTTTTATTAGTCATCAAATCAGAGTAATTCAGAAATCCTAGGGAAGAAGCACAGAACTTTTTTGGGGGAAGCAAACAGCTTAAGTGCTGTCCTTAGTCAAGAGTCAAAGCTACTGTTGCAGTATTTGTATCTTAATGTGGCAAATAAAGATTAATTATTAAAAAGGTTGTCTCCTGGCAATGTATATCTAGAGCAGAGATTTTGTTTACTGTTTCATACCCTTAATCCGCTTAAGATATCTCTTGAAAATGTTCCTAATTGGAAACCCCACAAAAAAGCATTGGTGTTGTTGCTGCTTGTCACAGCCTGCCATTATGGAAAACAATGATCAGAAGCAAGAGAAGAAACATGGAAAAGTAGGGGAAGAAAGGTGATTGTAAGGAAAACATATTGTTACAGGTTCTATGTGAATGTCAGAAGTTAAAACCAGACATCTAAAAATGGAGCAAGAGAAATTCAAAGTCTGATCACAGATGGAAAGGAAACATATGGGCAAAAGACTATACAGTATTTTGAAAGAAGTTTTCAGACTCAATTATATAGTTATCTTACTGAACCTAATTAGACTTTAAGATTAGAAAGCAAAAATATTTGCCATTCTTAGTAAGTCACTATTCAGAGTAGGAAAATTGTTCTCAGGAGCTTTATACAATTATACATAAAGTACTTAATTCTGTAAACAAAGTATTATATTATAGACTATAGATTTCTAATGCTTATTGAGAATATCAGTATGATTCTGCAAGGATAAGAATGCCCTTAAAGTACTGGGGATCAGTTATGAGAACCTCAAGTAAGAAATTATATGGAAGTTCTTAATTTATACTTCATTAATTACAGTAGGGTGTCCCCACGTAGGCCAGCATTTGCACTCTTTCAAAAATAGGAGAGCTTGTCAGGATAGCTCAACATTCTTTGGCATATCTTGATGAAGATCTTCAGTGCAAAAACATACTCAGAACATACAAAGTGGTATGGAGAGCAGAAGGGATATGAATGATTAACCTACCTGCCCCAATTTAATTGGTTAAATTTTAACCGGTTAACAGATAAACCGGAATTTTAACATTACTAGAAAGCAGCATATATGTTATATTATTTTTGGCCCAGTAGAACCCCTTTCATATGCACCCAGATGTGCTTTTTCAGGTCTTTGTCTATGATCAGAAATATTAGCCATATATAGCTCTGTGCCCACCCTGATATATTGTACCATGCACAATGTTGCTTGAATTCACATGACCTTCTTTATATCCTTTCTGTTGCTTACAAAGTAAATATATTCTTTCAGACCTTTACTTACAAGTTTTTGGATTTGGTGCTTCAGGTGGTAGAGCTAGTGTGGGTATGAAAGGTACTTTTTGGGCAACGGAACATTCAGTAGAAGCTGAGTAAAGCTGTTCTGTACGTTGAGGCTGCAAAATTCCTTTATCCAAAGAAACCTGTTTAAAATAAACATAACTGATAATTATCCAGAATTGTTTCCCTTCATAAATATATTTCAAGTAAAAACACTGTGAGAGGAAATACAAGTTCTGTAATAAGAAATTTACAATGAATTAAAATACTATCTGATTTCAATATTTGGGTTGGACAATTTATATCTTTACAAATACTTTAAACAGAGAGAGAATTCTGTTTGGAAAAAACAGCTGGACTCCAGTGAACTAAATATGTTCAGATGTATGTGGCTATGTATGTGAAAGGCTAGGACAGTTGTCTTAAGAAGGGCTCTGTCAAGGGATTTTCACAATTTAAAAATTGTATTTTACTCACTATTAATAAATAATACTAATATTATTAATAAATAATAATACTAAAATAGAAATATTTTCCTTATGAACATTTTTCCATTAAATTGCTTACATACACTACTTGCTTTTGTATCCTGGAATTCTTTTTGTTGTTTAATACAAGAATTGAAATGTTTGTGATTTTTAAAAAAATATAGAGAGCCAAATTCAAAGCTGATGCAAACCCAAGCCTGAATTTTTCTCAGCTGAAAAAAAAAAATTGCAACAACACAGCTTGTGAAAAATTATAGTCAGAAAAAAATAATGATATTAACAAGACTAAAAGACTGCAGGCCTACAGGCTAGGAATGCAGGAACTGTTATAGTGGATAAGAATATTACTCTATCAGGGTACAGCTAAAGTACGGGGTTTTCTCCACCATGTCCAGGGAATGCGTTTGCTCTTTCACTTTTTTTTTGCTTTTTAAAGCTATTTTGAAATAACTATTCTGGAATATCTTATTTTGAAATAAGTGTGCAGTGTAGACATACCCCTAGAGAGCTTAGCACAGAGAAGTTATAATATGTTAATATTCATGTAAAATGTGAAGTTTGAAATACACAGTCACATGTTCATTGAATGAATCTGGTGACACTTTTTGGATATGTAGTCTTCCTTTGCATCTATTCAGACATACCATGTATAGGGTTTTTTTTTGCTTGAATTGTACTCACAGAATCTTGTTTTGGTTCAGGACTATCTGGAAATGGAGGCTGCTCTGCTTCATACTCTAAAATAAAACAAAACCCAGACCATGCCAAATGTCAAAAGAAACTTTTCTGAAAACATACAAACCAATATTACTTACTAAAAGCTACAGGCTGTATTTCTCTTAACCGGGACTCTGATCTGGCAACATCTATGGTCCAGCAGGACCACAGATATTCCTGGACCACAGAGCTCAGGTATAGGGAGGTCTGGCTGCAGTGCAAAAGAGCGGCAAGGGGGGCTCAGCAACTCAGCTAGGAGCCCTGTGTTAGGGGGAAGGAATGGCACAATGGGGGTTTCTGGTTCCAGCTGTTGGGCAGTAGCAGGAGGCCAGCAGCGGCTGTGGAGTTCTGGCCCAGCAATGGAGCTCCAGTCCCAGCAGCAACCAGGAAGCTCTAGCCCTGGCAGTGGCCAGGAAGCTCCAGCCCCTGCCACACAGCTCTGGCCCCCGTGATGGCCAGAGAGCTCCAGCCCAGAGAGCCACGGCTGGCCAGGCAGCAGCAGGGCTCTAGCTGAGTGGGGGGAAGCGTTCAGCACTGGCCATGAAGGGAGGGACCTCTACTGGTCTAGCAAATCCCCTCATTCAGGATCGGTCAGGTCCCAACGGTTCTGGATCAGGGAGGTCCAACCTGTGCTTTCATTTCCAGAAATGATTATATTTGAGAGAGTTTGTTTGTCTGTGAGCGGGCAAGCGAGTCCGTCTGTTCCTCCCTGTTATTGCAATAACTCCTAAATGGAAAGCGCTAAGACCACGATTTTTGGTATGTAGTTTCCTGTTATATCTTAAAGAAATATAAGGGCTTGGTTGAGTGGATTGGAGGGGGGCGGAAGCTTTATACAGGGATGCATAAAAAGAAGTCTTCCTAAGCAGTAAGAACTAGAACCACAAAATTTGGTATAGAACTTCTTTCCTTATTGTAACTTAAAGCAAAGTGAGGGTTTGGCTGAGGGGAAGGGGGTCTGAAACTCTCCCTCCCCTCCAATGCATGCGGAGATGCAAAAAACCATACAGAAAAGAGACAGAATAGCAAGGCAAGTGAAAGGGGAGCCCTCCCCCTTCACATGGGACCACAGCTGACTGTTCAGCTTCATCAGGGAGCAAGGGGAAAGTGTGCACAGTTTGCTCCATTCATCAGTTTGGCCTTGGAGTACAGGGGGCAGATGAACTTGGAGACTGCCCCCCAGCCAGGGGACATACACCTCTCCCTTGGCTGTGCCCGCTGCAACTGCAGCAGTCATGGACAGGCATTTCTCACTTGGCCCCAAGCTGCTGTGGTGACAGAGGGCTGGAGCTGTACTCTCTTCTCAGGGCAGTCTGCACACTGAATCCCTCATGCTCAGCCTACCCCAGCTCAATGATTTAAATGAAGAAAAACAAAAATTATGTCAGTTAAGGATCTGATCAAGGCAGGGTAAATCCTCTAGAATTTAACTTATCATTTAATTTACTAGAATGAGGAAGAACCTCTGAGTCCATGTATCCTGGAGAATCATGGTCAATATTTTCAGTGAAATAGGAAGCCTTCCTTGAAAATAGTACAAAAAGTCCAAATAAGCAATGTAGCATAATTTAAGACTATAAAATGTTTGTTAAATAAAATGATGATGCTTGCATAAAATTAATAATCCTTTTAACTTATAAGCAAGAGTGGTTTTCAAATAAGGCTTTTTATAAACAATTAAACTTCTGTGAGCTAGATAAGTATTATGCTTGACAGTTTATAATTGAAAAATGGAAGTGCAGAGACGTTATGTGATCTTTGCAAACTATTCAATGAATCTGTAAAAAACTGCGCTGACCATTAGACAGCATTTCCACATGAAATGCAAAATTTTCCTAATACATATCAATGGCAGAATCCTACTCTGACTATATGGACAGATCTCCCATTGAGGTCAATAACAGAATTGCAAAATTATGGGGCTGGATGCAACTCCCACTAAAATAAAAGGGAATACTTCAGTTAACCTCATTGCTCTTGGATTTACCTCATAGAGAACAGGAGAGTGTAGTTAAGATCCACAAAGAAATGTTCTTAATTCAATTAATTTAAACATAGCAAGGAATTCCAGTGGTTCTCTGGCTGGGGAGTTCTCTGGCTGAGAATTTCAGGATTTCTACACACAAACCATTCAATATTTCCACAAATTATTTATACAGTAGGAGTATATGGATTTGAGAAGCAAAATGAAATCTTACTGAATATTATCTTAATAAAATATTTGGCACTATATCTTCAGTACTTCAGTTTACATAATATAATGTTGGGATGTAAGCGAGTAGTTGACAAGTCAGCTAAACCATAAGTTAACTAACCAACAACCTGTATCAGAGGCAGCAAAGGGGGCAGCAGGAGCCTGTGCTGGGAGGAGCTGGCTTAAAAGCCAGTTCCCCCAGCACTGTCTCAGCGGTGCCACCTGCCCACCGCTTACACTGCTGCCTCTATCAGAGGCAGCAGCACAGGGAAGGGGTAGCAAGGGGAAGCTGCCACATAGCTCAGTCCCTTCACAGGGGCTGCTCCAGCTGGCCAGCTGTGGTCTTAAACTTCATATGAAAGTATCAGTTTATCAGGCAGTTGTCCTGACTATCATGCTGTATCGTTCAGAGTCATGGACCATATATCGCTGCCATATTTTGAAACTTGAGCAGTTTCAAATCAATATTACCAGAAACCCAAAATGGAATCACAGACATATACCCTGACCCAGCATTTTTTAGAAAATAGATGTCCCTGCAGAGCCTCGCTAACTTTGAAGGTAGTTATGGGAAGGAGGTACAGTATGCCTTCACACTACACAATTCAGGGAGAGGACCTTAAGTGAAAATTATGCCTGTGACTATCCAATCTACCAGTTTTATAATTATGTGCCTTAACTGACACCATCGTGGCATCCATCCATGTTATGAACCCACCAATTCAGGCACATTGGGGTATGTGGCATTTCATTCTAGAATTAAAAATGGCCATTTAATTGGCCATTATCACACTGTACAGCACTATAAATACTACATAACTAAGCAGATAGCTTTGGGTTCAATAAAATGATTGGTGTGGGCTGCTCAACTTCCTGAAAATTTCTCATAGCCACAGCTGCTATTGCAGATGTTGGAGAAAGGCCAAGACAAAAGCTTCTATTGTTGCAACTGAAAACAAGGATTATTAATTTTGTATTAATATCACCATCTCTCTCCTTTTATGAGACAATATACTGATCCCTTTATAAACCACAAGGCCAGCTAATTTACTTGGGAATCAGAATACTGTCTCACACAAAAGGCAATGCTATTATCACTTCCTTAAGGGTGAAATAAATTTAACACTTTCCTCCCCCTTCACCAGTACATGATACAAGGCTATATTTCTAATAAACATGCCTGGTGACAACTGCTGTTGCAAGAGAAATACACACATTTTCTTAAATGTATTTGAACCTTTTCTCCTGCATTTGTGAACAATGTATTTTCTTTTAAGACCTCTATCAGCCTTTTGTCTGCAGAGTTGGGTCTGTCTAAACATTTATATTCCACTGTCCAGTTATTTACAACTCTTGACCCTACTGAACCAGGGAGTCCCCAGGACAGGGATGTGAATGCACTCCCCAAAAAACAAACAAACAAACAAACAAAAATGAAACAAATCAGGAGTGAGGCAGGGAAAGGCCTACTGAAATTGACAGACAAAACCCTCCAATCCCAGAGGGAGCGAAACTTAGAATCATAGAATCATAGGATTGTAAGAGACCTAAAGAGGTCTTCAAGTCCAACCCCCTGCTCAAAGCAGGACTAACCCCTACAAAATCATCCCAGAGAGGACTCTGTCAAGCCGGTATTTAAAAACCTCTAAAGATGGAGATTCCACCTCCCATTCCAGTGCTTCACCACCCTCCTGTTAAAACAGCTTTTCCTAATATCCAATCTCGATCTCTCCCACTGCAACTTGAGACCATTGCTCCTCATTCTATCATCGGTCACTACTGAGAACAACCTCTCTCCACCCTCTTAGGAACCTCCCTTTGACTACGTCTACACTACAAGTTTTCTCAGCAAAAAATATACTAATGAGGCACTCATTTGCATGAGTTGTGATTCATTTGCATATATTCTGACAATTCATTTTTGCGCTGGGGTTTTTGCGCAAAAACAAGCAGTGTGAACATTTTCTTTTTGCACAAAAACCCCTTTTTCTTCAAGACCTGTATGCCCCCAAAAAGGAGGTATACCAATCTTGCGCAAAAACCCCAGCACAAAAACGGATCAGCAGAAAATATGCAAATGAAATTACAATATTTTTGCCAAGAAAACTCGCAGTGTTGACGTAGCCTTTAAGCAGATGAAGGCTGCTCTCAAATTAAGGATGTTAAAGAGCAGTTATTTGGCTAATCGCTGGGCTCTTACTACATTTAAAATGCAAAGCCGCAGCACGGGCAGCTCCCGGAACCAGCAGGAGCCGGTTCTGAGCAGTCCTGGCTCATGCTGGCTCCGGAACCTCTACACCTCTGCATTTGAAATGTAGTAACAGCTGAGCAGCTCTTACTACATTTAAAAAGCAGACGCACAGCGGTTGCAGACGGACATGAGCTAGGACTGCTCCGTTCCGGCTTGCACTGGGTCCAGTAGCACCTGTTCACAGCGGCTCAGGCTGGCCGTGGGAAGGAGCTGTTCTGGCAGTAGCCCCTGTGTGCAGTCAGCCCCAGCCACTGTGAACAAGGGTTACTTGGTGGCAGCAGTCCCATTCCGGAGAGGGCCCCGCTCCCCTTTGGGACTCCCAGGGGTTTGGTATGCTGCTGGAGCAGCCTTCACCCATGTTGAGCTTCATCCCACCACAGACTGACGCTGCTTCACAGCAGCCTCACCTACCCCCACCCCTGCTGCCTTTAACAGAGGCAGCGGAAGGGGGAAAGGCAGCACTGTGGAGATAGTGCTGGGGGAAAACCAGCTTTTAAGCTGGCTCCCCCTAGTACCACCTCCAGTTCCTCCCCTTCCTTGCTGCCTCTGGTACAGAGGCAGCAAGGGGGGTGGGAAAAGCGAGCAGTCGAGTACTCCACTCCACTACCCTCCACTCCTCTACCGATAAGCTTATGCTTATGGGGTAGTCAACTACTCCTGTACATCCCTATATCAAATCCGACCACGTTCTTCTCTTCTGCAGACTAAACGAGCCCAAATCCCTCAGCCTCTCCACGTCGAGCGCTCCAGCCCCTCATCGTTTTGGTTGCCCTGCGCTGGACTCTCTCCATTGCGTCCGCATCCCACTCCCCAGTGCGCAATGAAGGGGAATAGTCACGGCTCCAGCTCTGTGGGCAACGCTCCTCGACGGACAGTGAACCCGCCCCCAGCTGCAGGGAGGGAGGCTGGCGGCGGGGGGGGCCCCCGGGGGGGGAACC